CATATTCAGAGCTTTCGTGTGATTAGTTAACTTATGTAGAAAAGAAAACTTAACTAAATATATATATATAATTTCAATTTCTTCAGATATTCTGCGAACATAACAGTTGCTGTTAGCTATACTACATATGCAAGTGCTGTTAAAATGATGTTAACTGCAGAAATGTTAATTAACATATATAACATAACAAGCTGTTAGAGCAACTACATGAGCAAGTGCTGTTAAATTGAAAAGAAATGTTAATCAACATGACAATAACAGCTGTCTGTTAGTTGTGTGTGTTGCGTGACTGTTAAGTGCATAACATATGTGCTCAATGTTAGGTGAGTGAGTGCTGTTAGGTGTTAGCATAAAAGCGAATTTTGAATGTGATGGCAGAAACAGTAAAGCAGCTCTCAGCTAACATAGAAAAACATTTACAGTAACAGTAACGGAACACCGGAATAACATTTAACACTGGAAACGCGTTTCGGCTGTAATTAGTAGTAGTATTTGAAACTCGATTAGGACATAAAAAAAGTAATTAAATAACGAAAACCAAACCAAAGCCGAATACAAATCGTAAACAGGGTATCAAAATGATAGAAAGAAAACCTCCTAACCTCCACACAGAAACGATCGCCGGCACTGGAACTACGGCTGGACTGCAGCCCACCGCTGTACAAATACTCATCATCATCCTCGGGATACTCAACCAGCGGCGACGACGAGGAGCAAGTGACCAACAACGGCGGCTCCTCATCAGTGCCACCGCCGCCAACGAGCACCACCGGCGGCAGCGTCAGGACTGGACGATGCATCTGCTGCTCCACCGCCGATGGCATTGCTGGCGACTGTTTGGCTGCTGGCTTCTCGATTGGCTGCTGGAACTGAAACGGGTTGCGTATTGTTAAGGTGCTGAGCTCTACGCTTGTGCTTCGCCTCTGCTCAGCTGCAGATGGAGATGCAGCAGCTTCAAGGCGTATGTTGTTGTTGCTGTTGCTGCTGTTGTTGTTATTAATTAGTGTTTCGGGTGGTGTTGGCGGCGATTCTTGCATGGGCATTACGGTCTCTATCTGCATGATACGCAGCGTAGCCATGCGCTTCAGCTGCTGCTCCTGCTCCAGCTCGAACTGATCCGGTTCGAGGTGCCGCTGCTCCTTGGGCAGCTGGCGGCGCAACGTGTTCGGATACGATTCCATTTCGGAAAGGAAGTCAAATTCATGCAATGCATCCTGCAACTGTCGGCGATTAACGGCATCATGACAGGACACACACACACACGGACGAGGGCAGGCAAAGCGTTAAGCAACAGCAGGCAGGAGAAACAGCGAAAGAAAATGTATTTGTGTGCGCGTGTGTGTGTGTATGTGTGTGGAAGAGAGCAGATAGAGAAATGGGGAATATGGATAAGACATATGGCTATTGAAGTTGAAGTGTGGGAGAGAAAGAGAGGGAAAGAGAGAGAGAGAGAGAGAGCATGTGAGTGCAAGACGGAAAGAGCACCAAAAAGACATTCGCAAAACATAGATGTGGCTGAAATGAAGAAATGAGTAGAAAGGATGCAGAGAAAGAACGAAAGAGAGCAAACAGAGATGGAGCGAGAGACAATGATTCAGCGTTGAAGAGATGAGAATAAAGGGAAAGTGCAAGATTGAGTGCGACCTAAGCAAAAAGGATAGATACAGAGAAGCAGAGAGAGAGAGAGAGAGAGGGGGAAAGAGAAAAGAAAGAAACAAAGGGAGAAACATAAAGAGAGAGCGAGAGATAGAAAGACAGAGATAAAAAGAGAGAGAGAGAGAGAGCGGCAGGAAGAGAGAAGAAGAGAACAGAAGGAGGACTTAGAAACAGAAAGTAGAGGGAGACAGAGACAGAGAGAGACATAGAGAGGAGAGAGTGATGAACAAAAATGATATAAAAATATAGACAAATACTAAAAGAGTGAGAGATAGAAAGAGATTCATAGATAGAAATATTCAAAGAGAATATTCAAGAGAGTAAAGCGATAGATAGATGTAGAGAGAGAGAGACAGCTGGACAAAGAGAAACATAGAGAGAAGAGAGGCACAGACGTGGGGAGATTTGATGATGATAGCTAAGCGTAAGCAATATGCAAAAAGAAAACGCTTGAAGGCAGAATGAAGCTGCGCGACTTAGCTAAGGCATCAATGTAAAGAACTGGTTCAAAAGAGCTAATAAAATGTCTGCAAACTCATTTCAATTTTCAGGACATTAACTAAACAATATAAAAACTCACAACTTACTTGAGCTATGATACATAGGTTTTGGAACATTGGAACTAGTTCAATTTACATTAGTAGAGAACGGCTAAAGAAATAATTTAAATAACAATTTATTTCTATTGTGACTTAGATAACAAATCGAATAACTTATCGGTATCTTGCTAAAAAGAAGAGTCTGATATTTGGAACTAGTTCGAGAGCCTCAAATGATATCAGTAAAGAAACTAGCTAAATTGTGAACAGTTCATATGAACTAGCTATGTAGAAAAACTACTCGTATTACCTTTCAAATGAGTCGATAATGAACTGGATCCGGCAAATATATCTAGTAAATCATTTTGATTGCTCAACGTCGAGTTTGTTCTGTATGGAGTTTTTGGTTGCTAATCAGATGATATAACTATATATACAGTTACAAAAAAAAAAAATAAAACGAAACGAAACAAAAATGAACCAACACCAAAGCGAACCAGACATAGACTATATAGATGTATGGGGTATGTGGATAAATTTACAGAATGAACAGCTCTGGCAGAGGCACAACGATCAAATCAGCTACAGAGATACAGCTATATAGTCAGATAAACATATATATGTGTAGGAATATATATGTATATATATATTTATTTATATAGAGTAAGAGTATATATATATATGTATAGGGGAAGTTGTAATTCTTTTTGCTATACAGTTGCCAAGCGTAGAGTATTTGGTTCGCTTACCTCTTGATCAAGCACAGGTGTCACCGACTTCAAGACAGGCGGCGGTGGTGGTGCCGTGGTGGGCGCGGCAGTGCGTCCTGGCGGCGTTTTGCCAGGCATCTGGAGGCTAAGCGTATTGGGTCTGCCGCCGCCCTGGGCTGCGCTGCTTGCCGCTGGCTGCGTCGCCGGCGGCGGCGTCTCTGGCGGCAGCACACTGATGCCCTGCATATGCATGGAAAGCGGGCGCAGTCCACTCAAGCCACTAGCTGCAGGATCCGGATACTCGCCGGGCGTCTCCACATGCTCGTGCATGCCAGCATCCGGATCGAATTCCATATTCTGCGCCTGTTCGCCCGGCGAATAGGGCTCCGGTTCCACGGCCAGCGCATCGGAGGAGGGTGTGCGCGATATGGGCGACTCGGAGCCCCTGGAGGCGGCGCTGCTAGGCAGCGGCGAGGAGGCGCGTCCAACAGCCATAGACGTTGTGGAAGCTGCCACACTGCTGCTGACACCCAGATGCACATGATTGGGCGCATTGCGCTTGAGCAATCGTCCCCAGGTGGCGACATTGATATTCATTTGCTTGGCACGCGATATATTCTTGGCCTGCTGCCGATTGAAGATCATGCGCTGGCGTCGCAGTTTCGGCTTTTGCGAGATCATCGGATTCAGAAACTTGACCTCGGCGAAGAGCAAGCCTTGCGGCTCCAGCTGCAGTGCCATGCCATGGCGCACATCGTCAATGAACTCCTCGAGGCGCAGCACCTTGACAGCGCACAGCGAGCGCCAGTCCCGCCAGTAGACGCCGATCTCTAGCTCACGGGAACGGTCTAGATCGATGGAGAAACGCTGATCCCAGGCCTGCTGTGAGCAGGGCTTCCACGAGGTCTGGCCCACCGTAATATTGTCCAGCTTGATGACAGCCATAATCTCAAACGATGTTTCATCCTTGACCGAATAGCTCTTGGAGCTGCTGCGCGACGTGACGCCCTTAACAAAGCTGCGCAAATCGCCCGGACTAGAGCTGTTGTCTTTGTCGCGACGCGACCGACCGGGCACATCCTCCAACAGATCCTGACAGCCCATCAGACGCACCTCCAGCTTGCCCGTGACGCTGGCGCACCTACCCAGCGATGAAACCGACTGATACGATTTGCCGCCAAGCAGCCCGCCCGGACCCGACTGCAGCGATGTATAATGCACGGGCGCCGGCGACGTCGATTGCTGCACTATTTGCAGCTCCTGCTTGAGCAGCTGGGCGGTGGGCGAGTCAGCGGGCAGCTCCTGGCGACGCAGCTCCAAGGAGTACCGCAAGAGATCAAGTTTACGCGACGATTCCGACAGACGGCCGTGTGCCTAAAAATATTCAAACAAAAACAAAACAAAAAAAAACAATTTAAATCATTATAAAATTTATAAAATTATAAATTTCTTTGCCACAATTAAAAGTCAGATTTTGTTGTTCTTTTACACTCTATTTTCAATAATTTATATATTTATTGATTACTTTGATTACATAGAAAAAACACACACTTTAAAAACTGATTCAGCGTTTGAGGAACAATAGTGGAAACAATATATATTTCGCTTACGTCTCTATGTCAGGCTAGGATTCGGATTCGGATTGTGGTACACATGGATTAATGGGCGTGGCAACTTATGCAGAGTGTTAAATGCAAGCAAAAAATCGAAATGAAAACAAATCAAATTAGCTAAAAATTGAGTAAATTCGAGCCTAGCCGAAGTTTTCAAAGAACAAGGCAGAGTTTTTCCTTTAAAGAGTTTTCCTTTGGGGTTAGAACTTTTTAAACTTGATCTATTTTGACAGTCTTTCCATAGAATATTAGTTAGCATTAAATAACTTTATGAATTTGCATTTCAATTATATTTTAATCTTTTCATAAATCTCTTCTATATCAATTAATTCCTTCACCTTATTTAGATCTATTTTTTTATTTTTATTTTTATATATAAGCTTTATCTATTACAACTGAACATTAAGCTATAGCATCTATATAGTATATATATATATATACTGCATCTACTACAAACGGACATCTCTCTCTCCCCCCCCCCACGCCTCTTCAACTCTGCCTTGCCTTTCCCTTTCTCAACATGCCCTTAACAGCTACTCCAGCTAGAGCTGCGGTCGTCGCAGCATTGGTCGCTCGCCCAAGGAGAAGGCGCGTCCGCGCATCTGGAAACGTTCGGCCAGCCAACGCTGACAGCTCTCGCAGTGGCAATTGGGGTTCTTGGTGGGCCCGATATGATGACCCGGCTTGCGCATGACAACCACATTGCCAAAACGCAGCGCCTTCTCCAAATGCTCGTGCGTATAGCCGGCGACACTGGTCGAGACGTCGCTGGCCAGACTCGGGCTGTCGCGTGAGATCTCGAAACGACGCGCCGGCAGCGGTGATGCGGCCACAGTGCCAAAGGTCGTGGCAGAGGTGGTGCTGGGCGGTGCCTCGCTGCCGCAGCGCAACACAGTGCTGGCCGTCGACAACAGTTGGGGTGAGCTACGCTCGGACGAAGGTGAGCCGGGCGCTGCCTGTACGCTGAGATTATCGCGTGCTTCGCTCTTCCAGCGATAGCCGGGATGCAGACGCTTGAAAGGATCAACGCCTGCTGCGCCAGCTGCAGCAACGGGAGCTGTTGCGGGCGCCGACTGCGCCGGCGGCTCTGGACTAGCGGGCGGACCAAAGAACTGCAGAAAACCAGGACGATTGCGTGGTATATTAGACAGTTGCTGCTGCTGTTGCTGCTGCTGCTGCAGCTGCCTGCCTGGATAAGTATTATAGCCCACATTGCTCTCCGAGAAGCCATCCGATTCGGAGGGCAGCGTATCGCTGCGCTGAAAAGAGCTACGCTGCGAGTGCACTTCCCTTATAGTCGTCAGCGGCGGATGCGGCGAAGTGGAGCCCAGAGTCTGGAGGTGCTGCTGCTGCTGCTGCTGCGGCGGTTGCGACTGCAGCTGCATCTGCTCCGGCGTCGAGTGTTGCCTCGACCATAGACGCTCCATTTGACGAATGCGCACACGATCCAGCGAGTTCTCATAGTCAAAGCTATCCGATTTGGAGAGCAGTGCAAATGCTGGCGTATCGACCTCATCCGTATCCTTCCACGAGGTGTCCACACCATCACCAGCCAAGACGCTGGACACGCTGCTGCACGTGGCGTCGCGTGGCACGGTCGAACGCGAGGAATTCGGATAGGCGCCGCTGCTTTGCGTCTCATCGCTCGGCTGGCGCATATATTTCTGGCGCAGATTGGCCAACTTGGCAGCGCGCTGATCCCCGATGTGCTTGCGAAAGAGCAGCTGCTTGGACTCGCTGACCTCCTCGACAGTGCTGCACTTGGTAATCGCATGACCCAAATTAAGTTTCTGCTGCTGCTGCTGGTGCTGCTGTTGCTGCTTGGACGACGGCTGTGGCGATCTCTGTGCCAGACGACGCGGCAGAGCAGCGCCGGAGATGCGCTGATGTCGCAGCAGCATTTGCTCATTGTCGAGCACAGTTTGTGGCGTCGAATTGGAGTCCAGCTCGTAGAGTTTCTGGTCATTGCTGCTGTCCGAATCGGAACTGGAGGCCTCGGCATCCGCATGCTCCTCATCCTCCTCCGAGCCGGTGCAGTAGACGTCAATGTGCACAGTGCGCGGTTTCTTCTCGCCCAGATTGGGCAAGCGCGGCGACGTCTGTGTCGCAGCACCTGGCAGCGGCGGTATACGCGGCATCGATGCCGACTTGAACGTCGACGAAGGCGTTATGGGCGTGGGCGTCAGCGTGGGTGAGTAGGTTGGCTGCACAGTGAGATTGGTTAGTAGAATTCTAAGATTCTCTCTCTCTCTCTCTCTCTCTCGCTTACCACATATGTGTTCGCCTCCTCCGCCTGCCGCCTGCTGGCAAAGTTGACCAGCCCCTCGGCAGTGGCACGTCGCTGCTCGTAGGCAGGCCGACGCCTCTGACGCTCCTCCGTGTCGCTGGTCTGTGAGTAGGCATCGCGCAGCTGCTGTGCACGCACCTTGCTGTGATAGACAAATGGCTCATTCAGAGCTGCGTCCAACTGCTGCTGTTCGTTTTGTGGCAGAAAGTCTGCCACAGCGGAGACAACTATGTTGCAGGTGCTGCGGCAACGTGTGCCGCATAGCTGAGCTGTAACGCCACCCGGCGTCGTCTCCGACTGTATGTGTCGCGAGGCCTGCGGACTGCCAAAGGCTGAATCCGCATATGTGGTGGCCGAGGAGTTGGTGCTACGAAAGCTGGTGGCTGTCGTCGCCTGGGGATTCATTCAATCAGCTTTAATCATTGATCAAATAACTAGCTAACCCTTGGCTGCTCACCTTCTCCGGCTCCGGCTCTGGCTCCGGCTCTGCTTCTGCGTGCGGCGTGCTCCACTTGTACACCACACGCATGGGCTGCAGTGGCTCCTGGGCATTGAACTCCCGCTGCACTGGCTCACCTGCACGCGCGAATGTCAATTGTGCACGCACCGTCCACTCGGCGGTCAGCTCATGAGGCAACGGAGGCGCAGGCGGTTGACCACCATCTGCCCCGCGAATGTTGCTGCTGCTCATGATGCTGCGCCAGCTTTTAGGCACACATGTTCAACTTTTTTTATTCACAATTTCTACATACAACACACGATCTGCACAGATACGCGGCATATAGTTTTTATAATATTTTCTATATATACATATATATTTGTTCTTTTAGATTAAGCTAAAAATACAACACAGAAACGTTGCTCTTGATAGTTTGGCAAACAAACACGTACACACACGCACACTAAAATGTTGCGAGGGTGGCTTTTTAACTTGTTATTATTTATTAAATTTAATTGTTTGAATTACAATGTTATAAGAATAGAATTTTAGTCTTATTTATTTATTTATATAATTTATTTATAATATATATATTTATTTTGTATTTATTTATAATATATATATATGTATAATATATATATATTTATATAATTTATTTATAATTTTATATTTTGATTATTAATTAATACTACTTTCAATATTATTTCTTTTTAGTTGTAATTTTTGTTTTTATTTTTTATTGTTATTTTTGTTTTTTTTTTTATTTTTGTTTTTTTGTTATTTTTATTTTTGTTTTTCTTTTTATTTTTATTTTTGTTTTCATTTGCACATATATTTATTTTAATCTTTTCATTAATTTTTTGTTTTATATTATTTTTTTTTAATGTTTTTTTTTTCATATATATTTTTATAAGCAAAAAATCCTTCTCTAAACAAATTGTAAATACACTATTTTAAGATAATCAATTCCTTTGAAAATTCTAAAAAAAAACCAAATTATTTTATGATCTGATAATATATGAGTTTTAATTAAAATCTATACCCGAAAAGAAATATGCATAATGCAATAGAGTTAAAAATAAATAACAAAGACCATTTGTAGCATGAAATTTATGGCTTTCAATAATTGGCTGCATATGACGTACATATTGCTATGTGAATCATCATGCTCTACTTATATATATAAATACATAAATGTATGTGTATATCTTATTTGCGATCAAAAGACATTCGGCAAATGAAAAGAAATTAAAAAGAAATTGAAACATTCATAAATTAGGCAGCAGGAATTATTCATGATTCTCAGATGAAACTAAAAAAAATTCATTGAACTCATTTATTTTTTAAAAATCATTTCCAACTGAATTCATCAGCAAAATAAATTGAATTAAAAAAAAATGCTTTCAATTTTACGGGAAAATTTTAATTTAGTTTTCTTTTATATTTTTAAATGTGTTTTGTTATTTTTATTATTTTATTAATTTTATATATTTATTATTTTATTTATATATTTTATTTATATCTTATCTTAGGTAAATTTTTAATATGGTTTATTGATTATCTTGAAACCACCCTCGTTTAGTGGGCGATTTATATTGTTTTACGTTTGATTATAATCTTAATAATCTTTCTTTTTTCTTGTTTTATTATTTATTTTTAGCCACGCACAAAAACACTTTCGTTTTATAAAGTTTATATATATATTTCTTTTTTCTTTTGTTGTTGGTTCACTTGGCATGTAAAATTGTGTTTCTAATTTTATGTGCATTTATTTATAAATTTTCGTTTATTGTTGTTGTAAAATACTAAAAATCGCAAGATGACCCCAAAAGCCAAATCGAGAAAAGCCACGCACCAAAATAAAATGCAGCTCGAAAACGATGGAAAAATTAAACAACGAAAAAATAAAACTAAAAATTACGCAATGTTTTTTTTTTGTTTTGGGTAACAAAAAATGAAGTTAAAAACGTGTACGACGCTGCGTATGCGTAATGTTTCTTTAATGCCAGCAATTCAGTTAACGCTAGTCTCTGTGTGCGTGCTTTAAGCCTTTATAGTTAATGCGACATTTTTTTTCTTTTAATTACATATGCAGAACACTTTAAGCTGAACACTTTAAGCTGAATCCGCCGCAGTCCAATGTAATTAAAAATGATTTAAATAATTAAAAAAATAAAATAGGAATACAAAATAAAAAAAAATCGACTCGCGGCAAACGAAACAGAAAAGGAAAGAAAACGCGCACGTAGCCTAAACGGCAACTGAACTCAAACTGAAATGCGTGAAAATTCGCTAGAGAAACAATTTTTCCGCTGGTCGAAAACGTGCAGCGCGCACAAACAGAATTTTTGGCTGCGCTCTTTTCACACACACCGATATATATATATATCTTAGAAACTCTATATGTAGTCTCTATGTATGCGTTTAGCATAGTTCTATTAATGTTTAGCAAACACAACAACGAGCAAAGGGCATTTGGCTCTTCGGCCTTTTGTTTATCTCAAAAACATCTGTCGCCCCACTTGCCGCACGGTCTAATCCAAACCCCTGCCCAGCCACACCACTGTTTATGTCAAAACACAAAATAAAACTGCAGTTGGAATTTTGAAAAATCTATGCCAAGCACCCAACCGCCCGCGCTGCTCGTTCGCATTTTAAAACAAATAAATATGGACTGCAAATAGAAAAGAGAAGCACACGTTAGAGCCAGACACGATCTATGCTTCTCAGTGGTTAGGGGTGGTACCCATTGGAGTCATTGAAAAGCATATACATAGAGGGAGAGAGCGAGGCACAACCGCAGCAGCAGCTAAACATATAAATCAACAGCATGGAACAGGCATTCATTTGTCCACGCGACAGGAAGTCGGAAATATTGTGAAATTAGTCGGATGACAAGAGAAATTAAGCCAACTCAGACGAAGCTTGAATACGCTTTAAAAGAGTATTGAAGTTGATCAAAAAGAGAATACGTAACAAGCAGAATTTATTGATTTAAGTTTTATAATAGATCATAGGCAAAGGATCTGAATGATCGCTAGAAGAAATATGACTTCAAAAGTAAGCAAAATATAAGAATAAAAGCTTACGTCCAACTTGCTGACAGCCTATTAAAGTACTCTATAAAGCAACATGTAATTCCCAAATTTCAGGGCAATTTCCTATCCATTCAGCCAACCTCTTCAGCAAGCCCATATACCCCTAGTTACAACAGTGCGCGTAGGGCTTGCTTGTGTCCCTGGCCAATTGTCATTTTGAAATGCTGTGCATATTTTCGGGCATATTTTGCAAGCCAACTCGCCAGTAAATTAATGAGGCGACAGTTAGCATTAAAAATATACTTAAAACGAGGGGAAAAAAATAACGAAAAAAATAAAAAAACGAAAGAGCAGGGAAAAATTGAAATATTTTCAACAGCCGCGTAATTAGCCCCGTTTCTTTTTCTTTATTTTCATATTTCATTATACTTGGTTGCTGCGCAGCATTGTCTTAAGGCACAAGGCGCGTATACGCAACGCATGTGCACATGAATCATACGCCGTGTGGCACACGCCACAAATGCTGTTATATTTTATCTCTCTCACTCTCTCTGTCTCTTAGGTTCTTACACTTTTTAACAAGGGGCAGGCCTTGCGTTTCGGCCCGCCCGTTTATGCGCGTGTCGTTTGCTTACCTGGCCAACGGCCAGATCTAAGAATTCAGGCTAATCTAATTAACACTAAGTAGGTAAAGCATAGAAAAAAGTAAAGAACCGCCCACTCACCTCCTGCAGCGCCTTCTTGTCTGGCGCACGATTCGCCGTCTGCAGAGTGCGTATGACATTCTTGGCTCCATCGACAACAGCTGCCTCGATGCGCAGCCGGTGACGCAGCTCCTCGATGCGCTCCTCCAGCGTCGTCTCCAGGCTCTGTGGCTGTATGCAGCCAATGCCGCTGACAGCGCCAATGCCCGCTATTAGAGCGCCATGCTCATCGGTTAGCTGTCGTGCTGCCTTGAGGCGATCCGCCTGCTCGCGATTCTGTTTGACTTTGATGATGCGCAAGCGCAAGAACTCAATCTTGGCTTTGGAGTCCGCTAGCATTTGGTAGGCCTCGGCGAGCAGTTTCTTGTCGCAGCCAATGCCCAGCGATTGGATCATATTCTCGGCGCCCGTTTTCACCTTCATCTCGATCTGCAGCTGTTTCTCCAGCGAGGCGAGCACCTTGTCGTTGGCTGTAGCCGATGCACCGCCGCCAGCCATCGCATTGTTCACACCCAAACCGCCAACAGCGCCCGCCAGCTGGGCAGGGCCATTGCCGTCAAGGCTGAAGGCAATCGATTCTGTAAACAAGATGGGAAATTAATTTTTAATGCATTTTATAGATTGTTTTCGGTTGAATGTGCACTATAAGGTATAAGCACAATAGTGCATGCCCTGTAAATTGAGCAATGAGTGGGGCATATATGTTGCAGATATAATTTTTGATGTAGCAAAGTATACCCTTTTCAAATGACTTTAAAGGCTTTAGTGTTTTATCTGTATATCTAATGAAATTGCTCTTTTTATTAACATGTTTTTTCATCATCAAACACTGTTAATAAATACCCTGTAAATGGCATAGAATAAGTTACAAGGGCATTGTAATCAAACAAAAACTATTTAATATTCGATTAGCATGCTTAACTTGATTGTTGAACCTGTGTATACCCTATAATTTATGAGAGCCAAATGAGTAGTTATGCTTATCAAATATATTTAAATATTTCTTCTTTAATTATTATATAAATAATCTAGACTTAATCTACTCTGATTTCTTTCAATCATTAAAATTATCTTGCGATCTACTGTTTTCATCTTATACTCAATAGCTATTCCCCTACAGGGTATCTGCTAGTCTCCCAATACATTTCCTGTCTCACATTAACTACAATCGCTTCACTTAGCTTTTAATAGCTGCCCTTGACATCAGTTGGCGCACAGCTGCTTGCTTTGGGGGGTGTCAGATCGTTTAACCTGCTGGCCACATTTAGCCACATGCTGTCAGAGGTCAGGGGTCATTTACAGTGATTAACACGCTGCAACGAACACTTGACCGACACCCACGTGTGCCCTTTTATATGATTACACTTGCATTAAACTGCAGAAGGGAAGCGAACAGAAAGGCCAGGTGAAAGGTGACAAAGTCAGCTATGACACCTGATAAAATAAGTGGAATACACAGCAAGAGCTGGGAAAAGGAATGTGTGTAGAATATGGCATATGTTTTGAATAGATTTATGTCTGAGAACTTTCGAATGTGGCACATTCGGCTAATAATTTACTGCTGTCTATTAAATAAAAACAAATTTTATATTTCTAAGAAGATTAAAATAGAA